GTATTGAAAAGTTTAATCAGGTACAAGCATCATGTAACGCCCCTGTGGACTGTTTATTGTGGTTTCTTCCCCTTTTGTTGGTTTAGCCCGTACTAATCATTAGTTAATTACCCTCATTGTGCTCACCTGTCTGCCACTAATAGTCCACCCTATATTAGTTCCTGTCTGTCTGAGCTTTAGTTTGTCGGTTATTGTGAATGTTACCCCGAGTGTGTGTGTCTCACCTGCCTAAACCTGCCTTGTTGTGTCTACATTAAAAGTCATTATTGGAATTCTTGTCGTCGTCCTGCCTGCCTCCACACACCGTGTCGTGACATATATATATGGCAACATTTCTCAATTTCAATTAAGTTCTAGTAGTAAAATAACTAAAACTGAACACACCAGCCCCACTCAGGACCCTGAGCCCAGCCCCCCATCTCCCTGCGGTACGGAGCATAAGCCTGAGCCCACCGATGACGGAGAGCCATTTCCCGCCACGATCCACGAGGCGGAGCGAAACCCCGCGGCTGAGAAGAGGATCGCCTCGGATGTTGATAAATAGTCATATAATCAATCTCTGCTATGCTGCATCGTGAACAGAAACATATTTTTGGGTTTGTATCTTTACACACCAGCACATAATCTTTTGGGGGGCTGGTTGTAGTTGACTTTTCCAGCTGGCTTCAGCTCATAGAATTATTTTAGCATAAAATGTTCTGATTAATCCTTAACAGCACAGTATTTTTAACACTTTTACTTTTCCCTTTCTGCAGCTTAGCATTGCTCACATATCCATACAAGTGTGAGATTTGGCTCTTTATAACTTTAGATCCTTATTTTTTTTATGTATCATTTAGTGCTGTGTTCGATACATCGATACAACAATGTATCATCACAGAGAATTGAAAAGAAAAGACTAGAGGTGTGACCTCGGCATCCTGGCCAAATTTGCCCATTGGCCTCTGATCATCATGGCCTCCTAACAATCCCCATATCTACTGATTGGCTTCATCACTCTGTCTCCTCTCCACCAATAAGCTGGTGTGTGGTGGGCGTTCTGGCGCACTATGGCTGCCGTCGCATCATCCAGGTGGATGCCGCACACTGGTGGTGGATGAGGAGATACCCCCTGACAATGTAAAGCGCTTTGAGCGCCTAGAAAAGCGCTATATAAATGTAATGAATGAATTAATTAAAATTAAAGGTTACACTTTACTTGAAGGGGTGTTCATAAGACTGACATGACACCTTCATAATCATGACATGACACATGT